GACGCCTAGCGAGCAAGTCAAATTTCCTTCAAAGCACTTCTGCTTTTGGCAATCGAACCACGCACCGACGTAAGGTCCTCATTGCAACCATGGAATATGAGATCGACGACTGGGCTATCAAGATAAAGATCGGTGGCTTGGGTGTCATGGCACAGTTGATGGGCAAACAGCTCGGACATGAGGATCTTGTCTGGGTTATTCCCTGTGTCGGCGGAGTGAAGTATCCCATCGATAAGCAAGCAGATTCGATGTTCGTCATGATCTTGGGGAATTCGTACGAAATCAAAGTTCAGTACCACCAGATGAAGAACATAACATATGTTTTGCTGGACGCACCTGTTTTCCGCCAGCAGTCCATCACAGAACCCTACCCAGCCCGTATGGACGACCTCGGCAGCGCTATCTACTACTCTGCCTGGAATCAATGTATTGCTCAGGCAATGAAGCGGTTCCCCGTTGATATGTACCACATCAATGACTACCACGGCTCGGTGGCTCCGTTATATATTTTGCCCGAGACTATTCCGATTTGCTTGTCACTTCACAACGCCGAATTTCAAGGTCTATGGCCTATGCGGACACAGAAAGAGAAAACCGAAGTGTGTTCTGTTTTCAACCTTGATTTAGATGTTGTAACGCGCTATGTTCAGTTTGGCGAGATCTTCAATCTTCTTCATGCCGGTGCAAGCTATCTTCGCCTTCATCAACAAGGCTTCGGTGCTGTTGGTGTGTCGAAGAAGTATGGCAAGAGGTCATATGCTCGATATCCAATCTTTTGGGGCCTAAGAAAAGTTGGAAACCTACCTAATCCCGATCCTTCCGATACAGGCGAGTGGGATAGAGCCTTGCCTAAGGAGAGAGATATCAATATCGACAGTGACTTCGAGATACGCAGAGTAGAGCTAAAACGCCAGGCTCAAGAATGGGCTGGTCTCGAGCAAAGACCTGACGCCGATCTGTTAGTCTTTGTTGGAAGATGGTCTATGCAAAAAGGCATCGATCTGATTGCCGATGTCTTGCCCGGTGTATTAGAGAGTCGAGCACATGTCCAGCTGATCTGCATCGGGCCGCTCATTGATTTATATGGCAAATTCGCCGCATTGAAACTAGACCGAATGATGAAGCTCTACCCTGGTCGGGTATGCTCCAAACCTCAGTTCACGATCTTACCACACTTCATCTTCTCTGGCGCAGACTTTGCGCTAATTCCGTCCCGCGATGAGCCCTTTGGTCTTGTCGCCGTCGAATTCGGTCGGAAGGGTGCGCTTGGAATTGGAGCCAGAGTAGGGGGCCTCGGGCAGATGCCTGGCTGGTGGTATACGGTTGAGTCTACGACTACCTCCCACCTATTGAAACAGTTCAAATTGGCTATTGCGAGTGCGCTAAACTCCAAGCCCGAGGTAAGGGCAATGATGCGCGCGAGGTCTGCCAAGCAACGATTCCCAGTTGCTCAGTGGGTCGAAGACCTTGAGATCTTACAGTCCACGTCGATTCGAGTCCATCAAAAGGAACGAACCAAATCCCAGAGTCAGTCCGCCGCCACCGGTGCATATAATGCCATCTACGGGATGATGACTCCGCAGTCTGCGTCGACAAGGTCAGGCGCATCAACACCTCCATTACAACCCTCAAGCCGCTCGGGTACTACAGGATCACTCCAGCGAAGCTTTATTGTATACAGTCGTGACGCGAGCCCTGGACTCGACGGGAGACCGAAGTCGGGGCTCAGTCGCCAGATTTCTCATGGTGTTCGACCGTTATCTGGCACCATAGATCCTCGCGGTCGATCCGATATTGGGAAAGGCAGTGTCATCGAGGGTTATGACAGTGCTGGTAGAGCCTCTCCGGAGGCGGAAGAAAACAGTGACGATGAAATGATGGCCACTTGCTATGCTGATGACGATTATTCCATATCACCTGAAGGACCAGATCCAGCACGTGCACAAACTCCCCAGCCTTCAGGCGCGGCCCTCACTAAAGAGGCCCTCTCGGCCCAACGCGCGAGTCAAAGCTCCTTATTAGTTCGATGTAGCAATACGCCCTCAAGTTCAACGGCACCGAGTACAGTCGGCACAGATGACACCCTTGTTCCTCCTTCTCGCCCGTGGGCAGAGCCAGGAAATCGTCTCGGCAACGCCTCAGTCTTGTCTGTCGACTCGGTTGTTGGAGAGAAGAAAGACTTCAAACTTCAAAAGATTGACCCATTCTTCACTGACAGTAACGGCGAGTATTACAGAGTGTTTGAAAAAAGACTCGAGGGCCTCAATGGGGCAAATTCAGACACCCAACTCTGCATTGAGACATACCTCGAGAAGAGCGAAAAGAAATGGTTTGACAGATTCCGCGATGCTCGTCTTGGCCTCAATCAAGGATCCCCAGCCGGCTCAGTGCATCGCGGTAAAGCAGGGGCCTCCCCGACGGGGTCAGTCACCAATGATGATGCGACATCTCATGAAAGTGGTGAGCACGAGAGAAAAGAGGCCCCGCCAGATGAATTTCTTCTTGGTGATGACTATATGCCGCCGACCGGTCTAAGGAAATGGATGCAAATGCGCATTGGAGAATGGCCTGTGTATTCTCTCTTCCTTGGACTGGGCCAGATCATTGCAGCCAATTCCTACCAGATTACCCTTCTCACTGGAGAGGTCGGTCAAACCGCTACGAAATTGTACGGAATCGCTACGGTTTACCTAATAACTTCTATTCTATGGTGGTTTTTCTTCCGATACTGCAAATCCGTGATCGTTCTAAGTGTACCGTGGTTTCTATACGGGGCGGCCTTTTTGATCATTGGAATGGCACACTTCGAGCCCAACTCACATAATCGCGGCTGGATTCAAAATATTGGAAGTAGTATCTATGCTGCTGCATCATCGAGTGGGTCTATCTTCTTCGCCCTCAATTTCGGCGATGAGAGCGGTGCGCCAGTCAAGCAGTGGGTTTTCCGTGCTTGTCTTATCCAGGGCACGCAGCAAGCCTATGTCATTGCCCTTTGGTACTGGGGTTCAACTTTGACTAAAGCTACCAACGCTGGAATTATGGATGTGCAAGGTAGCGTCACCAACACCTGGAGAATGACGTGCGTAAAATATCCAAATCTTCATGTCTAGTCCCGGAGGTTTACTAACCAGTACTGTAGAGCAATATGCACACCAATCACCATCCTTTTATGGGCAATCGGTCTCATCGTTTATCTTGGCTTGCCAAAATACTATCGTCAAACTCCTGGTAAAGTGCCATCATTCTACAAATCTGTCTTCCGGCGCAAGATTGTACTCTGGAACTGGGTAGTCGTCATTCTCCAAAACTTCTTTTTGAGTGCTCCATATGGTCGAAACTGGAATTGTGAGTCACCCATTTCCAGTCATTTTTTGCTGTGTTCTCTTTTCTCATGCTTGGAACGACACTACTGACTACCACAGTCCTCTGGATCACCCAGCACGCCAGCTCGTGGCAAATCCTCCTTCTCTGCGTTGCATTCTTTGGCTTTGTCTGGATCGCGGTTCTCTTCCTGCTAGCTAGACTATCCAAGTCCCATAGCTGGATCCTCCCAGTTCTCGCATGTGGTCTGGGTGCGCCTCGCTGGGCGCAAATCTGGTGGGGGACATCTGGCTCCGGCCTGTACCTCCCCTGGGCTGGAAGTTATACAGCAGGTGCCCTTGTATCTCGGAGTCTCTGGCTCTGGCTCGGGGTCTTGGACGCATTACAAGGTCTTGGGTTTGGTATGATTCTGCTGCAAACACTGACCCGCATGCATATCTGCTTCGCGCTTCTGGTGTCACAGGTCCTGGGCTCTCTCGCAACGATCTGTGCAAGGGCCTTTGCGCCAAACAACATTGGGCCAGGTCCTATCTCTCCAGATATTACGGCTGGTGTGGGCGCGCTGAGTAATGCGTGGTTTTGGGTTGCTCTTTTGTTGCAGCTATTGATCTGGTATGTGCTCCCCTATTGTAATCTTGTGAGTCCCGTCTAACGTCGACATTCAAGCGGTGGATTTCTTCTATTCTTCCGAAGGGAGCAGTTATCGAAGCCCTGAACAAGTGTGGATTTGTTTTGTTGGAAACTGATGGAATGGTGATTAAGCTCTGCGATTGTGGCCTTTTCGAATTTCCTTGCGTACATTGACGATATAATTGTTTACTGTTCGCTCTTGTGGCTGATTTGTTGTCAAGCAGAAACAGCCCAAAGTATCTAGTGTCTAATATAATGATATAGTGTCGGCTGACAAGCAACAGGCCAGTCCATGACCACATGTTGTATGGAGTGGGCGTCTAGACCCACTAGCGGGACCCACTCAAAGCAACCTTGCTATAAAAGGTTAACCTTTTGAAGGTTAATATCTCTTGTTTTTTAGTGTGGTGAGGAGTTGAAAGATCCTTTGGCACATGCCCAATGGTAATTTTGCCAACACTGTGTGATCAGAGCCATTGTAGACACCCTTGCTCTCGGTGTCATCTTAGTGACGTTGGGGATACAAATGAATGATAGGTTGTTGACCTTGGCGAGGGTGCTTGGCAGAGTGGAGGTATGATCTGACGAAAACTGATTTAGTTGTAAGGGAAGAGGATAAGGATGTAGTCGGGGGAATTTGTCGCTGATTCAGGTCTGTTGTCAGCCATGGCCAGGGACATGGTGATATCTGCGGGCCGGGATATAGTGGAGAGGGGGTGGGCAAGGAACCTATAGATTAATTTGCAAGGCTATGTCGCTTCTTTGCGTTCTATCATGATATCGCTCTTATGGACCTGCATTCGCATGCGGCAGTTTTCCCAAAATTGGACTAGTTCCTATCGGATCGACACATCAAGTTCGATCTTTCTATCGTGCCCTATCAAAGGCCGAAAAATGCTCAGTTTTTTCGACAAAAATGATAGGTCTTATCTGTTCCAATCTCGACAATCGAACAAGTCTCCGTGCGAAATCGGTGCACATATCCCTTGCTTCGTGACAGCATTGACCACGGATAAACCCCTCCAAAGAACTGTAAGCTACTCATCGACATGGCGACCACGAAAGTATTCGATGGCTCCATGGACGAGGATGTTGCTCTCGGGAATATGGGGTACCAGCAAGAATTCAAGCGATCGTTCAGTCTGCTAGATATGGTGGGGTTTAGTTTCAGCATTGTGACCTGGTGAGAATTTCCCCCCCCCCCAGTCGGGCACACGAGTCGTATCTAATACCGAACAGCTGGACGGCATTAAGCGGCGTCTTTATCATTGGCATCCAGGCAGGTGGTCCACCCGTCATGATTTTCGGCTGGATCGGGGTCTGTGTATTCACCATGTTGATTGCCCTAGCAATGGCTGAGATGTGCTCGCGCTGGCCAGTGGCTGGAGGCCAATACTCGTGGGTGGCTATGCTCGCACCGCCTCGCGTTTCCCGACAGTTGTCATATATCACTGGATGGTTTATGCTGACTGGTTCGTATCTGTCGAAAGTTGGTGCCTACTTGCTGATGATTTGGCTAGGACTTCTGGCCATGGGCGCGGTCAACAATTCCTTCGGGTCAAATTACATTCTGGGCCAAGTTAACCTAGTGTTTCCGGAATTTATTATTGAGCGGTGGCACACCGTCCTGGTTGCCTGGGCTGTGGGGCTATTTGCTCTCGCCATCAATGTGTTCGCACCGCACGCTTTGCATCGTCTATCCCGCTTCATCCTGATGTGGAATATCGCATCGTTCATCGTTGTGATCATCACCCTTTTGGTAACAAATCACCCGAAGCAAGATAAAGACTTTGTATTTCACGAGTTCCGAAACTTGACAGGTTTTGGCGCTTCGATGGCCACTATAGTTGGGATTCTCCAAAGCTTTTTCGGCATGTGCTGCTACGACGCACCAAGTCATATGACAGAAGAGATGACCCACGCTAGTCGAGACGCACCGAAGGCTATAATCCTCTCAGTCATCATAGGAGCTGTAACCGGATTGCTTTTTCTACTGACCCTGTGCTTTTGCATGGGTGACATCGAAGCAACAGCAAACTCAAGCACCGGGGTCCCTGTCATCCAAATCTTCTACGACTCAACGCAAAGTAAGGCCGGGACCTGCATTCTCGCTAGTACAATCACCGTCATCATCATGATGTCTTCAATCAGTCTTGTCGCTGAAGGGTCCCGATCGGTTTACGCCTTTGCGCGAGACCATGGGCTGCCATTTTCAGGCTTGTGGTCTCGAGTCGAGCCGAAGAAGAAGATACCTCTTTATGCCATTTGTCTCACCGGGGTAGTGCAACTGAGTCTGAATGCGATTTATTTTGGCACGGAGACGGGATTTGCGACGGTGATTTCGATAGCTACCATGGGGTTCTGTACGTTGACATCTTCGATCCCAGCCCTGGAGGTAATCATGAACCTCACTCGGCTAACGTGGATTTGATTTAGATGTTTCGTACAGTCTTGTCCTTTTTGCCAGACTGCTTGGCTATTTCTTCTACAGCCAAGGCTCTTTCGATGGACCACACTCACTGCCGCTTCCGTTGTCACTCTGTTTCAGTGCGATTGGCCTGCTATTTCTGTTATTCGCTTCTGTGACTTTCAATTTTCCCTCCGATGCTCCGGTCACCTCCGAGTCAATGAATTACACCAGTGCAGCCATCGGGCTTTTAACATTGCTCAGCCTTGTTACCTGGTTTACTACTGCAACAAAACGGTTTGTTGGGCCTTCAGATGTCAGACATTTGGTCGTTGACGGCGCCAAGACTCCAACGACATTGCAGCCTGTGGATCATGTTGGTCTGAAGACAAGTGAAAGCTATAGTCAATAATTTCTCCGAGAGACATGTGTAGCATCGCATGCAGAGTGATACACGTACCTAACCAACATTAAAACGCAGAGGGAGGAATACAAGAAGAACTGGTGATAAAGAGTTATCTAGAATGACAAATGCACAATCATTTTTCAGTCTCGTTGAAATTCGTAGGCTAGCCAGATTATAAAAAAAAAAGCCTATGATTAAAAGGCAAAACAAAGGACAAATAGTAACCAGAACAAGTAGGGGAATATGATTCTGAAATCCAAACAACATGACACAAAAATGGAGTTCCGGCAGTGCCAATGACCAACCGTTGGCACTTGAAAAACACAAAGAATTACTTTTACCACTCAAGAGGCTCGTTCTTTACATCACCACGGTTGGTCTTGGGAACGGGAGCAGCCTCGACCATAGTCGCGCCACGGCGGTCACGGCGGAGATAGGCACTTCCATCCAACCAGGGGGTATCAAGGGTGCGCTTGGCCTCGAAAGTGCGGATTTTAGACTCCATTTGGAGAGTAAGACCAATATCATCGAGGCCGTTGACAAGGCAGTGCTTGCGGAAAGCCTCGACCTCAAAGGCAGTAATCTTGTTACCCTGAGCGTCCTTGATCTCTTGGTTGACAAGATCAACCTCGACCTCGCGGCCAGCGCGGGCCTCATCGGCGATCTTCTGCAGAGCAACCTCATCAGAGATGACAACGGGCAGCATGCCGTTCTTGAAGGTATTGTTAAAGAAGATGTCGGCGAAGGAGGGGGCGATGATGCACTTGATACCAAAGTCGAGCAGAGCCCAGGGGGCGTGCTCACGGGAGCTACCGCATCCGAAGTTGGGACCGGTAACAACCAGGATCTTAGAGTTGCGGTAGATGCCCTGGTTCAGAACGAAATCTGGGTTCTCCTTATCGTCGGTGTAACGGAGCTCATAGAACAGCGCGGTGCCGAGACCTGTGCGCTTGATGGTTTTGAGGAATTGCTTGGGGATGATGGCGTCGGTGTCGACGTTGGAGCGATCCAGAGGCGCGGCGATACCCTTCAGGGTGGTGAAAGCGGGAAGACCGGTGCTCTTACCACCGCCGCTAGCAGGGGCCGAGGAGTTGGTGTGGGGCTCGTTGTCGGCAGGGAAGTCCAGAACACGGTCGAGTTCGTCTTCGGTCTCGGGGGATTCGAACACGGGCTGGACGTCGATCTTGGGTGACGCCTTGCCGAGGACGGGGCTGGCTACGACGTGCTCACGAACGTCAGCAAGCTTGCCGACAATGGCAGCAGTGGCAGCCATGGCGGGTGACATGAGGTGGGTACGACCCTGGGCACCCTGGCGACCCTCGAAGTTACGGTTGGAGGTACTGGCACAACGCTCCTTGGGAGACAGGATATCAGGGTTCATACCCAGGCACATGGAGCAGCCAGCCTCACGCCACTCGAAACCAGAGTCGGTGAAGATCTTATCGAGACCCTCGGACTCAGCCTGCTCCTTGACGAGACCGGATCCAGGAACGATCATGGCGCGCTTGATGTTGGAGGCAATCTTGCGGCCCTTGACCACCTTAGCTGCGGCGCGCAGATCCTCGATACGGGCATTGGTGCACGATCCAATGAAGACCTTGTCAACCACAACCTCTTTCATGGGCGTACCAGGCACAAGACCCATGTACTCGAGAGCACGCTTGCAAGAGGCCTTGCGGTTCTCATCCTCAAAGTCATCGGGGCCGGGGACCACACCAGTGATCGGGATCACGTCCTGGGGAGAGGTACCCCAGGAGATGGTGGGAATGATGTCCTTGCCGTTCAGGAATATTTCGCTGTCGTACTGGGCACCAGCATCCGACTTGAGGCTGGACCAGTAGCTGATGGCCTTGTTCCATTCGGCGCTGCCGTACTTGGGGGCCAGAGGGCGGCCCTTAAGGTATTCGAAGGTAATCTCGTCGGGTGCAATCATACCGGCACGGGCACCACCCTCAATGGACATGTTGCACATTGACATACGGGCCTCCATGCTCAGTCCGCGGATGACGGATCCGCAGAACTCAATAACAGCACCGTTACCACCGGCAGTTCCGATGACACCGATAATGTGGAGAACGACGTCCTTGCTAGTGACGCCAGCGGGGAGCTCGCCATCAACCTGGATGCGCATATTCTTGCTGCGACGGGTAATGAGGGTCTGGGTTGCGAGGACGTGCTCGACTTCACTGGTTCCGATACCGAACGCGAGGGCACCGAAAGCACCGTGTGTGGAGGTGTGGCTGTCACCGCAGACGACAGTCGTGCCGGGCAGAGTGAAACCCTGCTCCGGGCCGATAATGTGAACGATACCCTGGCGCTTGTCGCCCATACCGAAGTAGGTGAGGCCAAAATCCTTCACGTTCTCCTCCAGGGTTGTGCATTGGAGACGCGAATCATTCTCTTTAATGAAGTCGGCGGCATTTTAAAATTTTCCGTGAAGTGGTAGGAATATTCTGTTAGAAGGGAAAAAAAGTTGCCCAATTAGTCCTGAGCTGCTAGTGGATATGATATTGAACATACGTGATCAACTGTGGCCAGTGTGCAGTCCGGCCGGCGGACCTGGCGGCTAGCATTTTTAAGGCCCTCAAAGGCCTGAGGAGACGTGACCTCGTGAACGAGGTGTCGATCAATGTAGATCAAGCAAGTTCCATCTTCTTGCTCATTGACGATGTGGTCCTGAAAGACTTTGTCATACAAGGTCTTGGGTTTTGAGTCGGCGGAAGGCATGGTGGGTGGGGGAAGGATGGAAAACAGCCGGGAAGAGAGAATGTGAGGGCACAAGGTTTTCGAATGAGAGAAAGGAGAGATTGTGGGGAGCGTCAATGAAGCAATATAGTAAGTGATAAGTACCGAGACCACGGGAACTGGAACAAGAATGACTGTTATAATTTTCTGCTCTGAAGCATCCGCGATGTCGCTGGAGAGCTTCTAGAGGGGCAACGCCGGTCTCGGCCGGTCAGCGGCGAATGTTAACAATTTTACTGGCCGAAGTGGCAACACAGGCGTTGGCCGATACCGGTCAGCGCGGGATGATCCAAAAGGAGAGCACGGCTAATCACGGCTCACGGCGGATACTGGTCAACCGCTCCGGACCAAATTAATTTGGACACGCTGATTGGCTGTCCCTTGCATGGTTCCGCCTCCGATCGGCCCGCTCGTTTGACTCGACGCTTGCACGCTTAGCACCGTGATCAGGATGTGGCATAACCCAAGTGGGTATGGGGATCATCTGGGGAACTTGACTTTGATCTGATCTTATGGCTTTGAAATTCACGATCGAGCGGACTGTGGGTTGCATGCAGTGATCTGCTGTCTCACTCGGGAGTCGTGTCACAATATCAAAAGGATGCATTCATATGTTCTTAGCAATAGAAACGTCAAATTTTGAACTTGTTTCATAGTCTAAGATCAAGTCTACACAAAGTCATCTTCCAAAACGCCAATGCCCGTATCTCTAAACGATTTTCATAAAGTGCAGGAAGAACGCACGAAACCCGGAGACTACCGAAGCGAAGAGCCCAGATCGACCACGATCCTCTTTCCAGACACTGAACCACTCCGCAACGTCTCGAGCGCTGCATTAATACCCTCTAACCCACCCTCTGCATGAACAATCTCCGGTAGCGTGAAATTCGTCGATTGCAGAAGATCTTCCAACCAGCACACCATAGCTTCACCCACAGTAGGAGCCGTATGAAAGAGCTTTATGGGCACAGTGTGATATTGTACCCCCGGACTTTTCTCTTGAGGCAGACCACTTAATCCAAGGAGATGGGCGTGACCATCAGGATTAAGAGCCCTTTCAAGTTGTGTAGCTGTGTCTTTTCCAACTAGATCAATGGCATGTCGCAGCTTGCCCCCGGTGACACCGCGGATAATTTCCACTGCACGATCGATGTCATGTCGATCGACTAGCAGATCAGCCCCGGACTGCACAAGCTTAGCACCATGCCGTGCTGCATCGGCTACACATATCACGCGTAACCCGGCGAGTTTGGCCAGTTGAAGAGTTATCAGACCAGTGGTTGTTGAAGCTGCAGTATGGATGTCAACATCAGATCATACGGATGGACACATTCGTGTAGTCTTACCTCCCCAGATAGCAACCCAGTCGCCGCGTTGTGGCTTTTCTGAGTCCAGTACTGATGCGAAGCATTCTTCATGTATGTCGGCGGGGATATCATTTCGGTCAAGTTTTTTGATGAGATCAGGCAAATTAGGACCGGGGGTTTGTGTGATGATAGAGAAGTCTATTCCAAATGAGACACCTAAAGCCAGCACGGCAGCGACGAATGCGACTCCGACAGAAGCTGAAGCGTGGATCGATGTCGAAGAAGGAATTCGAGCAGCATTGAAGTCGGTGGCTATGGCGTATTCTTGGAATGCTGCTTTCCTAATGTCCCGGTAATCTGTCGATGGTACAAGCACAACATCGCCTACACGAAGACGTGATGACCCTCTGGGTACTTGTAGTACCAGGCCAGCCAAATCACGCCCGTTAATCCATGGTAGGCTAGGGATGCCAAAGTTGAATGCCCTGATCAATTCATGAGTTAGTCATCGACTCTGATCCGGGAGTGTCGATTCTCAGATGCAGAAAAATGATACTTACGGTCCCTTCCAGTCGACTGGGTTGAGGCCGATTGCAAGAACCTGCGAATCAATCGTCAGCATCTCTTGTCATACAAGACCCAGTCGGCGGGGACATGCCATACCTTGACAAGTATCTCTCCCTCATGCAAAACAGAAGGGATAGCATGGTCATCTACCAATGCGTACTGCTCACGGGCCCCCTTGAGAAGCAAGACTCGTTGTCTTGACTCCTCAGTCCGCGGGGACGGAGGTTCACTCTCAGATCTTGACTCAGTGGAGTAATCCGAGTTGGCCTCCGATAACAGACATTGGTGGAAAGTTCGGGTCTCCTGCAACTCTTCAAGTTCGAGACAAGTAGAAGTGGTCGACATGGTGCTTGGGGGTAGTAGTGGCATGACTTGAAGCTGGATCACAGAGAAACGCCAATCCAACTCTTCGGCACTTTCTATATTGTACTTGGGACCATTCCTATGGGTCTCTCGGGCGAGAAAATAAAGCCAAAGCACGCCTCAATATAATGCGCGGGGCAATGATACCAATCCCTCCTAGCATGCTCGATGGGATAATTTCGTCTCACATTGGCGCAATGATAGCGTTTCCGTACTTCCGAGGTCTGCTCGTAGTCGTTATCCATTGCTCATGGCGGGGCATAAATGGCGTGATAAAACTGGACGACCGAGGGACGATCAACGCTCTGATATATAGCGAAAGATGAGGGATTATGAGGACGGGATAGAGCAAAGGGAAGTGATAGCAATTTGATTGGTTATATGTACATATTATGGAATGGTTCAATAGAGATCGAATCATTCCACTCTGTTCAAGGACTCAAATCTTTGAAGCCCATCAAATTTCTGGGTTATCTCCAAACTGATGTGATCCAGGGTTGGAATGACGAAACTTGCAACAGCCCCAGGATTTCAACACCCTCGGCCTAAATCGCGAATCTCTGCTTGGTAAGATCTGGAATTGTAATTAACAAGTAGTAACTATGTTGTAGTTAATGCGATTCTGTTTGAATTAATAATCGACATGGCTTCATAGTGGTGAATTTAGGAAAAACAGAGATAGTCCCTTTCAGGTTCGCAATGTTTTGTGGTATCTGTAGCTATTATACCTTATCACAAATTGTCATAGTAATTGGTACAATGTAGACCTCAGAGATCACCTAATTTTTAAAGATGATGAGTCTATTCCACTAATGTTGTATAGAATGTAAATCTGGGGTTTATGGCATATCTCTATGTTCTTACACATCCATGACCTCTAAATGCCCTTAATAAATATCGGTCCTCTTAATAGTAAACTCATTTGAAATTCTTCTTCTCCCTAGATATGAAAGCATTTTTTACCGATTGATACCTCGGGGTATTCGCCTGCAGGTCTTGAGCCGCCTGCTGAAAGTTCCGTGCGAGCACGTAATTCCACCGCAGAACGACAACATTTACGGGGTTTCAAGGCTAAATCTCTTGGAAGCTAGCCAAGAGTCTGAGAGAACACAGCAATGAATCCCGCACGATTTTTCGCATCGCACTGGACAAAGCCTTCTACGCAGCCCAGCCGATAACTTTTGAGATGGAGTGTACAAAGTAGATCTCGCGGGGGCGCTACGGTTTTAAACGACCACATCGCCAGTTAAAATAATTTGGCTACTCAGTCATCTCTTCTATTAGATTATGGCGAACTTTGAAAACGATGTTGCGCCGAGTAATGAGGTGAACAGTAAAGATTGTTTGAACTCGCCGGTTGGTGGGCTACATTGAGGTGAGCTCGGAATGCCTTTTTGCTTTAAAGTCGACGAAACTGACTGTGGCCGTGAAAGGAAAACGGTACCGTTCAACAGGCTATAGTGCCTTCATCCTCGGCCTTTGCAACTTTCTCACGCCCGGTATTTGGGACGCCGTGAACTCCTTAGGTGGAGGAGGTGAAGAGAACCCATATCTCGTCATTGCAGCGAACGCCTTGACCTTCGGGCTTATGGTGATCTCTGTAATTTTGGCAGTGTTAAAGCACGAGTTATCAGCATTAAATGGACACTCATTGTGGGAATCATGGGATTTGCACCTTACGCAGCAGGGCTGTACACGAACAACCGACTTGGTAAAGAATGGCTGGTCATCCTGGGTGCGGCACTTTGCGGCAATCAGCGGGAATCTTTTGGATGGCAGAAGCAGCAATTGCGCTTTCGTATCCTGACCCAGACAACCAAGAACGCTTCTTGGGATTCTGGCTTAGCTTCCGTGTTGGAGGACAAATGCTCGGTGCTATCATCAGTCTGGGCATCAATGCCCATCGGTCAACCTCGAGCTCTATCTTATTCACCGTGTACTTGCGCTTCCATGGCGCTGCAGGCTCTTGGTTCTTTTGCTGGTCTGCCTTTGAACAATCCGTCCAGGTACAGCGAAAAGACGGAGTCCCTGTTCAACTTCAAGTGACAAACAATATCGGATACGAGCTAAAGAGCATGTCGAATCTTTGGATCAGTCCCAAGTTTCTGTTCATCGTTCCTTTTCTATGCCAGGCTGTGTATACAGAGCCTGTGATGCTTTCGCATGAGAGATTGTGGTTCACAGTACGTGCCAGAGCTCTCGGGTCATTCCTTTCTGGTGTGATTGCTTTGATCATCGGCAACCTTCTTGGAGCCTTCCTTGAAACCAGGCGGATTTTTCTGAAGAAGAGAAGTCGATATGGATTTTTCTTAGTCGTTGGGTGGCAAGGCATGTGCTAGGTCAGGGCTTCAGTGGTGACGACGGAGTTCAACAAGACAAGCCCGGCTTATGACTGGACTGACCCGGGTTTCGGAAGAGCCTTGACACTATTCCTGTTCTGGGTTGCTAGCTTCTCATTCAACTACATGTTCCAGCAAGTCAAATTTCGATGGGTGACTGCTCAGCTGGTATGATGCTAACTGATCAGGTTTTTCTTGGTGGGCAACCTTGCGGATGGTCATGAAGAGGTTATCAGGATTGCGGCCTTGGGATGTGGGACATCTGCCGTCCAGATTGTCAGTGTACGTACATCTCTTATCTCGCCCCAGGTACAACTTGAATACTAACGAGATGTCTCTAGTTTAGTCTAAGTAGCGTGAGTATCATGGCTGCAGTAGGCAGTGGATACCTCAACTTTGGCTTGTGAGCTATCGCGATAACGCCTGCCTGGCTCATTGTTAAGCAGGTAGGAGTAGACTTTGGGAATTTTCAAAAATCGCCAGAGAGGCTCTTGGTTTACGCGAGGGCGTGTGGATCATGAGTAGATGGTTGGAGAGAACGGGAAAAATTCAAGCACGAGTCTGTGAAATAGTTGACACGGCAACAAGAATAAGTCGTTGATTTGGGATTTTGGACCGTATCCCTGTCGTATTGAAAATTTGTACATTGAAAAGACGAAGCTTCTATGATGAGCCTGTTCCCAGGATTCTCTCGACACAGCTCAGTTTTAAACCTATGCGATAAAACCGAATTCCCTGTTATCATGGGGAAACACGAGCAACGCGAGGCGATGTCGTACGAACAGACCGAGCATTCCACAGATAGTTTGTACTGCCACCATGTGCCACGCCAGTTGATCTTCTCGCATTGGACCCATCCACACCAGCCAAAGATTCAAGATGGTGAGATTACTCGATTCAGTAATTCGTCCATTCTCATCTTCGGTGATTCGCACCAGCTTCAGGGTGTGTAATAAGCGCAGTGCGGTGTCTACTATAGGCGACGGGGGACTCGTCCACTCCGTGACAGAAGCATCCAGCAACCCAGTGGAGGCGCTAAACTTTGGCAATCGATGGCGAGGGCACGGAATAAACTTGAAGAGCTGGGGGGTTGAGTAGAGAAAATTGAAGATCTGCGGAATGAACAGTAACAGCAGGGTTTTGCTGAAATGCCCTAGGATGCCAACCACAGCAAACACCATTCCTGCGAAATAGCAGTACGTATCGCCCACGAACACCTTTGAGGGATACCAATTATGGCACAGAAGGGCTGCTGATACACCAATGAATGGAAGCAGGAAATATAACGACAACAAGTGCGAGTCGGTGGCAGGGTGTGGGTATGGTGTTATAGGTGCAAGGTACATCGCATCATTGAATAGCAATTGGATCGCAATCACTAGTGACTGAGCAACCTCGATACCGTTAATGCCTGCCAACATGTTGATTGAATTCGGGCAAAAGATTGCCACCGCTGCCATGTACATGTAGTACAGCCATCCAAGATCAACGACGTCACCCAGATAGGGTTGCAGCGGCACCGGCACGACGACTTGCGTGACGCCAAAGTCGACAAAGTACACAATGAGCATTGGGATTGCGGACAAAGCAGGGACCAGGACTTTGTGTCTCCAGCGAATATCGAATAAGTCATCACCGATTCCAAGGATCACGACGGATTGCAAAGACAAGAGGCCAGAAAGGTAGGAGGCAAGCTATTCAATTGCGCATTAGCTTGAAATTTGCCTCACTAAACCTTTTCAGAAAAAATTCTCACCTTGCTATGCGGAAATCGATGAAGGAAGCGGCCATTCTCAATGTGTTGAGATTCAATCACAACGTCACGGTTGCCGCCACCCGATGTGGCTGCAACGATATCCTTGTAGAAGGCAAACGGAATGAACAATATGAGCGAAATCAGATACACGACTGCGCAGACTGCGCCCATGGTTTCAGGTCTATATCAAAAATTAGTATGTCCTGTGATCTCAAGTTTAAGAGCCATGTACATACATTTCGGGCCGGCTAGGCTTTGCCATGTCTTTGCCCTTAAGTCCTGCCTTCAAAAATACAGGCCCGAGCCACCTGATAAGGCTGAATGCCACCGCAAACACGATGCCACATAGCGCAGTTGAAGCCACTAAAGGCGCCCCATCGCCTTGGAACGTGGTGTTGAGTATCGCTAAACCGGCCCCCACGAGGGCTAGTAAACGCCAAGTCTCCTTACTGGAGAGAGCACTTGAGGTATGCATGGCAGACACACGGCCGGGATGGCAGGAACAATGCCCCTCTATTGCAAAGAGTAATCTAGAAGGAATTAATCTATGCAACAAGAGGAAAAGTCCACGTCGGCGACACGCAATCTGTCTTCATTCTTCAAATGCTCGATAAGCTTATCGTGCTCCGCCGCATGTATCTGACCGCCTTCATGGGCGGTGAGAGAGTTTCCCGTGATGCTAGCGACCAAGAAAGGCAAGGCGACGTCAACCATCTGTTTCATACCCCATACATGCAGATGCATGAAAATTAAAACGTCATTGGCTCAGCTGTCTAATTCGTCAATCACACAACCCAGTCGATTCCGATGGGGGCTGTGGAGGGCCCCGATATAACGGCTGGATTCGCTGACTTCGACGCCGGCCATCGGGATCTGGTCACTGTCACCAGATTTAACTTCTATGGCAACCGTATTATCACCGCTTCCTCTGATCACCGCATGAAAGTGTGGGATCTCAAGGATGGCCAATGGCAACTGATAGACACCTGGCGCGCGCACGATGCTGAGATTCGCGATGTATGTCCCAAAACAAGCGAGGGCGGAATTCCAAAGCTTCCATTGCCGCTCATAAACTAAACTACTATTTCAGGCCACATGGAATGGTCCTTTTACAGGCCAACATATTGGCAGTGTCGGAGAGGACATGAAGTTGAAAATCTGGCAGGAAGATGTAACCCAGCCACCAAACTCAGGGCGGCGTTTCAAGTCAGTCTTTCGTATGACCGCGCCAAAAAGACATCCATTTGTATCACTCGACTTTCGCAACATTGACCTAGAGTCGTGGTTGGCCGTGATAACACGGGATGGCTACCTCATGGTTATGGAACCCTCCAATCCCGACAGCCTTGCAGATTGGCAGCCTGTTGACCAATTCCGAGTGTGCACCGCCCCGGAACGCGGTGAGGAGACAAGTTTCAAAGTTCAGTTTCATCATGACCCTGCCGACATTACTCATACCATCTCACCGGATTCCGATCGGAAAAGTCTGTCGCTGATTGTAGCTGTCATGGACACAGTCAAGATCTATCGCACTGACGCAAACCGACGATTCTACCATGCAATTGAACTGAATGGGCATAGCGGCCTTGTGAGAGATATCTCCTGGGCTAATGGTTCTGTGCGCGGCTACGATCTTATTGCGAGTGGTGGCAAAGATGGTTTGGTCCGCATCTTTGAAGTGTACACGACGCCAGTTGGCCAAGCACCACAGACCTCTAGTGGCCAGAAGGCGGAACTTCGCATGCAGCCCCAGTCACCGTCACCACGAGCGAAATCGCAGTCCGGGATTGGCTCTGCTCTAGCGAGCCGTGTGCCTGCATCGGCGACTGATCGCCAGCCCAGCGGGGATTCACAATTTCGGCACTCGTTCAAACAGGTAGCTTGTATTGACAGCAAACACCTTGATGTGTGGCAAGTTCAATTCTCGTTCTCTGGTGGGTATCTCTTTGTTTCTCTACAACCTTAATACTTTCGCTAATGTACTGCTAGGGGACTCGTTGATTTCATCTGGTGACGATGGCACAGTTCGGTTCTGGAAAAGATCTTTGTCTGGAGAGTGGCTCGAGTTCGCCGAAACAGACATGGCTTCTCAGTGATGTTCTCCTTCTAAGCACTGCAAGACACTGGAAATTCTTGAAGAATGCCCGATGTTTATCTTATCCCACCATCTCGGCCATCACCCCATTTATTTTCCTTCACATTCAATGATACCCTTTACATTTGATATCTGCATACTCCTGTGACCTCATATGGTAGTCTTTGTGGGACTTAGTTGTTGAATTCAAGGTTGAAGTTTTTTTTTTCCTTTTCCGAACTATCTCCACAACATGGGGAAAGAGCGATGGTTGGAGATGCTGTGGTTGTTCCCTTGACAGTTTTCTTCTCGAGCCGAACCAATTCTCAGCCTTCCACTGTCCTCTCCTATAATCACTTCATTATCTATATTCATTGTTAGCTCACTATGGTTGTTGGTCCAACCATTGGCACAGGCTTGTTCATCGGCGCGGGCCAGGCGCTCGCCGTTGGCGGACCTGCCTCGCTACTCCTGTCGTATATAACTCTATCAATTCTGACCTTTGCCATGGCGACGGGCATGGCCGAAGTGTCCACTCATATGCCATCGCAAGATGGGACACTAGTCACGAATGGCTACTTGTACATGTCAAGCAGTCTGGCATTTGCTTCAGCCTACCTCCGCTGGTACACCCTCGCTTTGTTCGTCCCATACGAAATCACCTCAGCGGTGGTCAACCTTGGCTTGTGGAAACCGGGTTCCACGATCGCAATCAGACTGGCTATTATCACGACCATCGTTGTTGGATTCAACTTCCTACCGGAAAGACTCTTCAAAAGCTCAGAGCGAGTGTTCACTGCGATGAAGATCGGCACAATGGCGACCCTCTTCGTCCTCTCTCTGGCGCTGGGCCTCGGAGGTGTGGATGCGCAGCCCCCATGGGGATTCAAATACTGGAAACATCCAGGCGCTATGAGCCAGTATCTAGTTCGAGGTGTATGGGGACGATTCCTGGCTTTCTGCCAATGCCTTCTCGATGGCTCGATCGCCTTCACGTTTGCCCCTGAGCTGATTGTGCACCAAGCAGAAATGCCAGCATCACTTGTGCCAGCATCACTTGTGCCAGCATCACTTGTGCCAGCATCACTTGTGCCAGCATCACTTGGCGAACCAGCGCTTCTAAGCGCCAGCATCCCAGGTAGAGTGAAATTTGACGTTGCTCAAACGGTGTTACCGTATATCCTGAGCTCCTTGGCAATGGGTGTTATGGCTCCTTTCAATGAGACGCGTCTGACAAACAACGGAACGGGTTCCGGATTTTCTCCTTACCTGATTGGACTCAAGGACGCAAATATTCAAATTATACCTACGATCGCAATGATCGCAATCCTGCTCTCTGCGGTGGCTTCTGGGCGATCCTTTTTGTATCTTTCTTCTCGCACACTTTGTGCAATGTCGGAGCTTGGCCATGCGCCCTCGATATTTTCCACCCGTAACCGTTGGAACGTTCCATATTTGGCTGTTGCAGCATCCGCCTTATTTTCTTTTCTTGCCTTTGTTTCGGTGAAAGTCTCGAGTACAATCATGAACACCTATCTCCTCCGTCTCGTCACGAGCGCCGGTTTCATTTCCTCGCTTGTGTCATTCGCCACCTATCGTCATTTCAATCGACGTCTCAGAGTGAATGGCATCGCCAGGCGGTATGCTTCCTCTATACAGCCTTTTGGCACCTATTTCGGGATGGTCTTCAATACCTTACTGTTGCTGAGCGGCGGGTTGTGGGCAGTGCCCAAGGGAAATCTGATCGGGTCTCGAGGAGCTAGACTGATCACCTCATATGTCAATGTCGTTGTATTCGGCCTGCTGTTCTTACTCCATCGATTTCAAGACTTCTTACCCGTTGTCGAAATTGAAAGACAAGTGGATATGGATGGATGTGGACATGGCGACCGCGATGGACCAAGAGAGCCTCGGACACCGAAGGCGTACCCGCATCGGGGGAAACTGGACGTGATCCCAGAAGGTTCCGGGGCATTTGAGTTGCGACTCAGCCAGACTATGTTCACAGAGCCTTTGTAACATGCCGATGGAGATTGATGCGAGATGGTATAGAAATGGAATTGTGGAATTGGTATGTCTGCAACCCAGTATTGTCTATGAGTATTAATTAGTTGTCGTTCATTTCGAGTTCAAGACTTCTCGTTCTGTTTCTTAGATAGTAGCATTGCCAAAAAAATCAAGACCCATTAGGCAACGTGAGTCTGACTCCATTCTTAGAAAGAAGTGAAATACCAAATATTAGAGAATACGATTAATTTTCCACCTATACGAAAATCGACTAGACAATTTACTTTAAATTTTTTTTTAAAATTTTTGATCCTTTGTACTTTGTGGCGAATAGCGCGCAAATCACAAATCATATCGGAATCCTAACAACCTTGGAAGCCCCCCCTTTTACCACGTAGACCCCCGAAACCTCCCCCTTCTTTTCCCTTGTGTCTCTTTTGATTTTCATATTTTATACTTGCAAATATGTGCCTGAAACCTGGTCGTACAAGAGCCAGATGACCCTTTGCCCCTCTTTGAAACCATATCCTTCCCCATCTCCTCTGATCTCTCCCAAGCATTCTCTACCCGTTTCCCCCCCCCCATGTCACTTTTTACCTTCTTCATACTTCCTTATACTCCGTCATATTGCTTGGATACTTTATCGACCTGCACTCAAAACACCTCTCATGTGAATATCTAATACTCCCCGTAGGTACCCCTTATCGCCTCCTATTCTCCCTTGCGTTCTCACGGATTTCTTTCCCGAGCCGAGTTCGTAGGAATTCCTTTGTCCTCCCACAAGAAAATCCTGGTTCTCCTAAGAGGCTTAACGGATTACCATATCACACATCCTCCCAGCACTTTCAAGAGCGATACCTTTGTTGATGGGATTTTTGCTCAGCATGATGTTGAAATTTCGCTTTTACCGCATGACAGGCCTGGCTCTCTCTTTCTCTCATTATAGCCCAGTGGAAGGGCCAATAGGGCTCCCCCCCCCCTCTATTCATTTTTGGATTGAGGATATAGCTCTGGTTTCAATTTTTTGGTCACTTATATCAGTTTCCTACTCATTCATCTAGATGCTAACCTTCAGCTTTGGGTCGCCCCAGTTGACTACCTCTGAGATGCCCTAGGCATCCAATGACATTCCCGTGACTTTCTCCACTACCTCGATTTACACTAAGCCTTATCAGGGCTAGTGTATTCCACGGCTTACTGAGAACAGTCGGTTTTGCAGATTACCAAATTACCATACCGGTAACCTTGGAATTTTCAAAATTTGACAAGAATTTTCCCCGGGTGTCTCTGTTCACAATGAAATCCAGAGAGCCCTTGGTTGTTTTCGGGTCGAGTCCTTCCCCCCCCCCGAAGCCCTCCGGCTTCTCCCCTCAAGTCTCAACCCCCTTTCACCCCTGCGCACTTGGTCTCTCTGTATACCTGGACGGCCCATTCTCTGCCTTAGGCCCCCCGTAGCCTCCTCCTTCCACTGTCTCCAGTTCCTCAAACTCACTCTCTTCTTTTTCCTCTCCTTTCCTCTACCCTCCTTCCTTCGCGCTTTTCTTCTTTTCTTACTTCCTTTCTCTCATTTAACATTTGCGCCAACCTCTTCTCGTCTCTTCCGATCATCGATTCTACGGCATATTCCACCCCCCCTTTCGCTTCCTTCTAGTGACCGGACCGTCTTCAACTTTCCAACGCGTCCACTGTCCACCGAGACGAGATTGGAAAGCTTCACGACTACGAAGAAAATTGCTATGCGATTTGAACAGTGACAGCTTGGCTACGCCTCTGTCAAGAAAACCTCATTTTGTCTTCGCCTGAGAGGGGGTTATCTGTCGGCGATGACAGATACCTCCTCCCTCGCCATCACGCACGCCACAACGGATTCCTATCCGGTCCACGCCCATCGCGGGTCCCCTGCTGCCATCGACGGCGCCGCTTCTGACTCCGGCGCACTAGATGAAGAACCTTACACCATCAAATGCATTTGCTCGTTCGATGAGGATGATGGCAACACGGTTTTCTGCGAAGGGTGCGAGACATGGCAACACATCCTCTGCTACTATCCAGACAAGAGAGTGCCAGATGTGCACAACTGTGTCGACTGCGAGCCACGGCCCCTTGATGACCGTCGTGCCCACGAACGACAACGGCTGCGGCGGATCCGAGAGAAGAGCGAAGACGGTGACCGGAAATCAAGACGATCTGGCCCCAAAACACAAAAGAGAAAGTCTAATGATGCCGATGTGAATTCCTTCCGTCATGGACGGCATGATTCCAGTTCCCGTGAGCAGCCACCGTCCAAGAAAGCGAAGGTGTCTCGACGCCCATCGACTTCCATGAGTGGCATTCCAGTTCCCCCGGGTCTCTCGGCTGAATCGCGAAACCGTCGATCCTCCACCACGGTTGCGATGAGCCCAACAAGTCTTCCTAGCCCTTCTGTCCCTTATTATTCGGCTGAATTTCTCTCTCTTTACGACCGCGAGGATCAATTTGTGGAATCGAAGAGTATCCTCAATTACGGCGTGGATTTTGTCAATGAAATTGTTGCGTGGCTGAAGGACCCACAAATCTTGGCGCGAGTTGCCGATGGACTCAGTGTTGAAGACTTCGCCAAACGATCCGAAGAGGCCATGGATCGCTCTCGCTGGCCCTCGTTGACAACGGAAACTATCAAGGACTCGACAATTGAGATTGGGGGTAAGCACCCTGTCCACAAGATCTTGAAAACACGAGATCCAGTTGAAAAGGACGATATTGTGGGTGAAATATTTGGCAAGTTAGGCCACGTCAAAGACTATAAAAAGCTCGAAAGCAACCGATGGGAGGAACTGGGTCACGCCATGCCTTTCGTATTCTTCAACCGGCAGCTGGACTTGTACATCGACAGTCGTCAGGAAGGGAACGAGCTCCGCTACGTCAGGCGGGCATGTGAGGCCAATGTTAATTTGAAAATCTACATCACCAATGGCCGGCAGTACCATTTTTGTTTCGTTGCCAAAAAGCCAATCCCTGCAAACTCGGAGATTACCACCATGTGGTATTTCGATGACTCTTTCTTTTCCGCCGACGCGACAGTGAAGGAGGAATTCAAAGACAGGGTAGTAGATCCCAAAGACGCCGCTATCTGTATTAGCACCACATTGGCCAACTTTGGTGGTTGTGCTTGTGGAAATCCTCAAGCCTGCGTACTGAACAAGCTTGATCGTCGCGCCAAGCCTCCTGTCAACAAACACTCCAAGTCAAAGCTGAAGAGCAAGGGCAAGGGCAAGAAACCAAAAACCCTCGGTCTTTCCGCTGATATCGGTCGCGGCGGCAGGGAGATCAGCAAGCATCTTGATGAGCATGACCCCGCAGCCGATGCCCGATCAGCTTCTGGTTCTGCGCGTGGTCGACATACGGGCAGTCGCGATCTCAGCCCCACGGCGTCGCATCAGCTAACACTACCAGAGCTCTCAAGTCGCGAAAGACGCAAGATTGCTGATGCCGAAAAGCAGTTCCAACAGCTAGAGCAGCTTAGAACTGGGAATCCTAAAAAGAAAAAGCGTTCTAGTGGCCATTCGACACAGTCCACTCCTGCAACAGTCTCGAGCTCAACCCAAACTGGCTACGATTTCAAACCTTACCATCAGCCTGGTGCATCTCGATCCTCTGATATGGCAGGACAATTGACCCGTCGTGAAGTTGCTTATGTTGACGCTGAGACCCAACTTTACGCCGATGATGTTGAACGCTCGTTCTTGCATGCAGAACGTCTGAGACGAGGATATAGACTTGACATGATCCATCCAACACTAATGCTTAAAATTCGGTGGTGCGCGGGACATCACATCGCAGAAGACTGGGCTCAGCGAAATGCATGGGAGGCCGGCGACTTGAGCGTCGTGCCGCCTGGAGTCCTCCCCTGGTGGTACGGTTGGTTCCCACTCCCAACCGACGACAGGTCTCATGTCGAGTTGCTCAGGGAAGATTCTGACAGAATGGGAATTCCTGCTGATCATGGCCCTCTTGCGATGCCCCCTCGGTGGTCTTTCCACCAGTCCAAGTATCCCCAACCTGAATATAACTACCATGGCATTGCGATCAGAGGAATGCACTATGAGCCTCCAGCGCGATCTGTCCAAGGCGACATTGATACTCGGGGTGCCGTCTCACACAAACTGGAATCATCCGCGCCTGCATCTAGCAGTGATCCGCTCAAGTCGTCCCCGCTGCACTATTGGCCATCCACCACAGCGCATACCATTGGAATTTCTGGGGCTGGCAATCTACATGTTTCCATGCCACCGCCAAGGGCCTCGAACATCCCGTCAGCGCTTAGTCCCGGTTCTACATCGACTGGGAGTCTCGCATCACCAATTTCTCATGACACAGCCTCCCCAATTTCTCTCGTTCCATCTTCTGGTTCTGCACTTGCAGCCACCCCTGCCAAGAAGAAACTCAGTCTTGGTGACTATCTGATTCGACGTGGGACAATGGCGACCACTCCAAGTTCGGAACCAGCTCCTGCCCCGCCTCCTGGTTCTTCTCCTAGCGATCCTCGTCTCCGAACCCAACATTTTTTATCCCTCACGACGGTTTTTGGTGATAATCATCAACCTCCCCGCAATACCGAAGCTGGAAGTGACACAAACGAGCCGTCTGACTCTCTGGACATTTCCATGGAAGACGCACCGGACACAACACCCACCAAAAACCCCTCTATCTCTTCGTAATACGACCATCCGCGTGGTAGTAATGGTGGGCCTGTGATAAAGGGAAAATTCCGCCGTGGATTTAACGTTTTTTTACGACCCAAAATTTCTTTTCTCGTGTGATTTCATTTCGATACCTTACAGCGGGCACGGGCGTTCGGACTTGTTTTACCTTTTATTTTATTGTTTTCTGTGCCGGCTCCTTTTTTTTTCTCCGACTTTCGGACTCTTGATGGCGTATTGGCGTGGTTTGGGATCGGTTCTTGGTTATGGGAAATACCATTTGGGTCAGGGTCTTTGAGAATTGTGCCTGCCTGAGCTGCAGCACTTGATCTT